GCCAGGTAATACGCCGGGCTCAATGTCACCAACTAGTGGTCGTCACAGGCGCCTAGTTCGAGTTGTTAAAGGACCTCAGCTATCTGTGTCTCAATTCGGAGACTTGCAACTTACAGTCCCGAACGTCTCGACGTAGCGATCTAGCTCCTTGTAGACTCCTTGCGTGGGATCCTTGCGTCCTTCGTCCGCGCCGTTGATCCTTTCTCGTCCTGCTCTTCGTGTTCGTCCTCGCTTGAATCCTTGCTCGTATCCTTGCTTGACTTCTCGCTGTCTGATGTATACTTGTGTTTCACTTCTCCTTGACTGATCCTGGCTTATATAGGGCCCCCTGGTCCCGTTAATCCTCGGCGTCTCCTCTTCATCCGGGTCCAAGGTCCAACGGCGATCCCGTTGCTTCTTCGGTTGGATCGCGCGACCGGGTCCAAGGTCCACCGCGATCCCGTTACTTCTTCGGTTGGATCGCGTGACCGGGTCCAAGGTCCACTGCGATCCTGTTACTTCTTCGGTTGGATCGCGTGACCGGGTCCAAGGTCCACCGCGATCGCGTTGCTTCTTTGGCTGGATCGTGTGACCGGGTCCGAGGTCCACCGCGGCCACGCTATCCTTTTATCCAGCCCATGACTATTTGTGGGGAGTTATTAACTCCTCACAATGGTCCACAGTAATCCACTTCTGTCGTATGAAATTCTGGGTTAGGCTTAACTTGATTTGCTGACAGGCTTACCATATAGTGCTCCCAAGTCGCAGGCTTTTTCCGAAAATATTTAACGGATTTGTTGATGACGCTAGCCACAACTTCCGACCTCCAAATAAAAAGGATTCCTCTTTGATTGCCAATAAAGACGTAAGAAATGGTTTGGTTTAAAAACTAAAAATAATTCAACGATTAGATCATAAATTCAAGCAAAGCCTTTTTTAATTTTAAATGCTAAATGATAGTTTTAAGTTACTTTAAGCATATATATATGTTAATATAAATTCAATGTGACTAGGACAATAATAAATAAGCAATAGCTTGTAGCCCTGGGAAAATAATAAAATAAATAAATAAATAAGCAAGCTTTATTACTTGTTATAAAAATTAAGGAATGAGGTAAAAAGTAAAAAATACTATACCTACTGTTTTTTTTTAACAAATTTTTTTAATAAATATTATATTTTTTAAAGCAAATATTTTAAAATGGTTTCAAAATATTAATTTATTTATTTTTACGCTGTTTGCTTATGTCAAAAATTTAAGCTACAGAAAACAGAGAAGGAAAATACCTGCTGTCGCTTTCGGCTTGCTCAACTTTTATTCTACATCTTAATTTGTAATTTGATAATATATATTTTTTATTATTATATTATTTCTCATATAGCTTCAGTATCTTACATTTATAATTCCATATATGTATCTTATTGTTAATTTATCTATGTATTATCCAATTTCGAATTAAATTTTATAAAATTCGGTTAACTATTTTGTATAGATACCATAGGAGGGATCGAAAAATATATTATATATAGTATTAATGGAAATAAATTGATAAAGTCGTTGTTTTTTATTATTTTTAGAATATCAAGTTTTTTAAATACCCTTGAATTGAAAAAACAAAATTGATAAAAATCGGACAACTATATCATATAGCTGCCATAGGAAAGATCAAAAATCTATATAGAATTACCGAAAAAATGATAACGTCGTTGTGTTTCATCAGAAAACCATAATTTTTGGAATATACAGGCAGGATCCGGTTTTCACTTTCACAAGATTCTCTCGTTTTCGTTTTCAAAAACGAAAATTGGTGCTCCCGTTTTCACTTTCACAAGATTTTTTCGTTTTCAAAAACGGGCAAGTTTTTTTTGTCGAAATGAAAAGTAATTGCCTTTTTTACATCAAAACGGTTCTTAATTGCAAAAGGAAAAAAATAGATGACTCCTTGGTCTATTGATGTTCATTTCACATCATCAGTAGGTCAATCTAATTCGTATTTATTTTTTAAATAATTATTTTCTGACCCCATCTTGATTTCATACATAAAATATTTGCCGTCGGCAACAACAACTTTCGTTTTGCTGAGGGGCCGATAAATCTATTGCCAAAAGTTATCGTCAATGCTGCCGTACTTGTAGTGGAACGAAACAACCACTTAAAAATACTTATAAAATGAAAACGAAGAAAAAAATATTTGTAAAGAATAGTTAAATAAGCTTCTTATAAATAAATATGATTAATTTTCTTTCTTAAATGGTAAAAGTGCAGTAAGAAAATTGTTAAGAATAGTGGAATGAAAACTGCAAAAAAGGTGGCAGCCCCTTATTATGGAAAACCGCTGATTTCTGGTGGTGGCTTATTTGAAATTTTTGAAAATGTAAGTAAGACAACTTAATTTACCGATCGTCAGACATATTAAAAACACATGTGTTGCAGCTAAGATCTTAACCCTTTACATGGTGGTGATGCATATCTGCATCATACCGTTCATATTCAATTATTTTTCAACGGGCATTGCAAAACTGTCTGAAATCTTTTTAATGCAGTTCAGAAACTTTCGTTTTTTATATAACAAGTGTTAGTCAGTCAGAATTCTATCCAATACTCAACAGCTGATTACTTTTCTCGCCAATTTGGTAAATGTGGAAATCTGAATTGGTTGTGCAGTTTCTCATCTAAATATATGTAAATAACAAAAAAAAAAATGTGTAGTTGATTTAATTTATATTTTTAAACAAGTAAATATTATATTTAGCTATATCTTGTCGAGTTTTTGTGTTTGTTGCATTATAATACGAATCAATCAACAATTTCGCTTTGTTGCAGATATGCATCAAAGTAGCTTAACACATAAAAAAATACTGCAAATATACGAACTTCACTGGGTTCTCCCAAACGGAGTGCGAAAAATGAGTATTTTTTTTATGTTTTAATAAAAGAAATAATTGCTTTAAAAAATTTAATTTAAATTGACATATTTAAAATATAAATTACTATATTTTAATATTGACTGAATGTTATTATCTTTCTAAAACACATATTAAAAAAATTTTCCTTTTAAGACCTTTTGATGCAGAAATGCATCAAACCCCTTTTTGTAAAAAAAAAATAAGGTAAAACCAAAAAAAAATTAAAAAACGAAAAAGAAGTGTATTTTTTATTTTCACTTATCTACCAAACAAAAAAAAAATGAAGAAAATCGGAGTTATTGCCATGTAAAGGGTTAAATCAATCAATTTCTGCCTTCTTTTGGCTTCAAAACAGGCAATTGAAAATATAAAAGTCATTTTTTTGCGTTGTTTACTTTTGACCAAAAAAAGTCAGCTGTTTTAACCATTCCGAAAACGAAACGATGACAAAAAGTTTGTGAAAACCGGAGCACCTAAAACGAAAACGTACGTTTTCGCCCAAAAACGAAAACGAGAAAAAAAAAGTGAAAACCGGAGCCTGCCTGATAGTAGAGTTTTCTAATGACTATCGAATTTCGAATTAAATTTCATAATTCATAATTTCATAGCTGTCATATGAACAATCGTCGAAAATAAAGACGAACTAGCTGCCCGTCCCAGCCAAACTAATGTTTCTTCGTCGAGTATTTATCTCATGAGCATAGTTTTGATTGAGATTAAATTCCAATCAGTTGGTGTTTTTCTACCTTTGCAGAGGGTAGTATACTTTCAGACAGATTTTTACAACGCAGTGAAGCAGACACATCAGACACCATACCATATATATACTATATTCTTGATTAGCATCACCATCTGGACCGATCGTGAAGTGAACGTGTGTCTTTCTGTTTGTATGTAAACTTTTCGTTAAGTTTAAAAGCTATCTTCCAAAAACTGTATCAAACGCTGTTGTTGCTGTGTTTATTGCACGTAATATTAACAATATCCAAAATAATATCAGATGTTAATGTTTTTGGTTATTGCAGAGAACTCAAGCTATCTCTATAATTTGGTATCTCCACAGCCGATGGTTTAAGTCGCCTCAACGAATTAGCCTTGCAATAGTATGATAACGCCACGTATAAGGTTTCTGTGCGGACAACCAGGCTGCGTTTTTATACCCATGCAGAGCAAAAGGGTATTATAATTTCAGTCAGAAGTTTGCAACGCAGTGAAGAAGACAACTCAGACCCCATAATGTATATCAGCATCACGATCTGAATCCAAATACGCCTGTCCGTCTGTCCTCCTGTCTGTTTATATTTAACTAATCTCTCAGTTTTATAACTTTACGAGACTTTTTGCATCCAAAAATTTTAGTTTTCAAGACGAGGGAAAAAGTTTAAACAAAAATTTTTAAATTTTTTTTTTTTAAATTGCCCTTTTTAATTATTATCGAATGAGTTAAGAAAAGTATGGTATCATTCAAACGGCATTTAAATTATCTTTCCATTGATACCAAAAGTTAAAAGAAGCAAGTTCAAATTTTGAGTATATTTCACTTTTATTATTGTCAAAATATATATACCGTATATGCAGGCTCCGAAACTATATATTGCAACCATCGGGCGGATTGGTACTATATCAAATAGCTCCCATAGGAGAGATCGCAAAAAAAAAATTATCAACGCAGTCAAGGAGACAACTCAGACCCCATAAAATATATACATTCTTGATGAGCATCACCATCTGAATTGAAATACGTGTGTTCGTCTGTCTGCTTCTATGTAAACTAGTCTCTCAGTTTTATATCTATCTTGCTGAAACTTTACCAAAAGTTGTATAGTTACTGCACGCAGTATGATAAAAAGTCGGTACGGGCCGCATCGGGCGACTATATAGGATAGCTCCCATACGAAAAATCGAAAAACTGACTCTGTTGTTTTTTATCAGTTCGATTTTACTTCTTCCAGATGGCGTTTTCTAACTACTTTTGAATTTCGAATAAAATTTTATTAAAATCGGATAGCTATATCATTTAGCTGCCATAGGAAAGATCAACAATTGTACCTATATACTATATTAATAATGAAAAAAATTAAAACGTCATTTTTTCTTTCATTACTTTTTTACAGCTCTTAAGGCAGTCGAAGGAGAAAGACTTATGTTGACAAATGTACATCGTTCCGATATGGGAGCATACAATTGCATTGCATCTAATGGTATACCGCCATCAGTAAGCAAGCGCTATGAAGTCCATGTGAATTGTAAGTCATTACCCCTTGTTTTAAAATAAAGCATCATCGTTAACTACAAAAACCAAATCAGCACAGTTTTAAAATTAATTTTTTCAAACTGTTAGAACATCAACGTTCGAGAGTTCGAGAGAGTTCGAGTTCGAGAAAAGTGGCATACAACGTTTGTTTGTGGAAGAGCAAAAGCGGCAGCTAGTTAATATAATATATTCGTCCGATTTTTATGAAACTTAATTCAAGGGTCATTAGAAAACTATATATGGTATGCCATAAATTATGCTTGTCTGCTGAAAAACAACAATGTTATCATTTTTATACCCTTGCAGAGCAGAGGGTATTATAATTTCAGTCAGAAGTTTGCAACGCAGTGAAGGAGACACCTCAGACCCATAAAGTATATATAAAATATTCTTGATCAGCATCACGATCAGAATCCAAATACGTATGTACGTCTGTCTGTCTGTCCTTCTGTCTGTTTCTATCTAAACTAGTCTCTCAGTTTTAAAGCTATCTTGCTGAAACTTTACCAAAAGGTGTGTAGTTATTGCACGCAGTATATAAATCGAAACGTGCCGGATCGGCCGACTATATCGGATAGCTCCAATACGAGAGAACGAAATAAAAAATTCTCAGGCAGCTGTTTTGAATTTCGGATTAAATTTTATCAAAATCAGATAACTCTATAATATAGCTGCCATAGGAGAGATCAAAAAAATATATATATTATATATATAATGTATATAAATGTAATATAGTTTTTATTAAGTAAGATATTAATATTATAATATTGTGTTTCACGTGTTCATTTAATGTTCTTTTAATTTGAATATTCTGCAACCGACAACTTTTTTCGACTTGACGACTTTACGACTTGACAACTTGACGACTTCTACTTGACTGTGTGGTTCGCTTCTCTAATTATCCGTTTTCCTTTTTGTTGTGTGGGGTTGCCAACTTGATCGCAACCATCTCTTCCTTACATTCGGTCATCCTGGCTACTGAAGTCTGTCCCAGACGACAAGCAATCCTCATTCCAATTGGCGTATTTCCATAATTTCATATTGTCTGAGCTCGTTGTTGTAATATTTGGCCCTTCCACTTGAGCAGCTTTCCTAACATTGTACCGGCCATTTCTTTTAATCTTTGTGACTTCGTACGGTCCAAGAAAGGTACTGGCGAGTTTTTTCCCAGCAACGAATTGGGTACGTTTTATTGCGACTAAATCGCCTTCTTTGTAGATGTTTTCTATCTTCCTGTGTTTATCATAATTGGCTTTATAATTTGCCTGTGCCTTCTGGATCTCTATTTTGGCTGCTTCGCGTTCTTTTGCTCTTTCTTTGTCGAAGTCATTTAACAACTCTTGTTCCAGAATTGCCACTAGATTATCGCTGACTTTATTCTGCATTTTAACCCCGAACATTAGTTGAAACGGTGTTTTCTTAGTCGAGCAGTGAACATGTGAGTTAATGGCGCGCTGGACTTGCGCCACAAACTTATACCACTTAGAGGTATCCTCGGCGGACAGTTTCGAGATCATGGAAATAATGCATCTGTTCACCCGTTCAATCTGTCCATTACCGCGAGCCACATCAGTCGTCGTCCACACATGTTCAATTGCGTTTTCCTTCACAAAGTTGGTGAATAGGTTGGAGGTGAAAGCAACTCCTCTGTCGCTAACAATGGGGATGGATACCCGAAAACAGCTGACCAGTCTGTAAGACTTCTTAAGACTTCCTCGCAGTTAGTGGTTTTAGTTGTAAACAGCCATACAAATTTGCTGAAAGCATCAACAACGGCAAAAATAAACTTGTACTGTTTGCTGGTTGCATCCATAGGACCCAAGTGATCTATATGGAGCGTGTGCAGTGGGTAGTCTCCTTTTTCAATGCAGTACAACTGACCTTCCTGTTTTCCCAGCTTTTTGTTGCATATAATGCACTTTATGCAAGACTTAATAATTTTTGCAACCTTGCTTTCTATGTGCGAGATCCAAAACTGTTGGCGCAATGAGTGTAACGTCTTTTGCATCGAAAAATGTCCCATGTTATGTGCACCAGATATTATTTCGTGTTCATTAATTTTGGCACGACCAGCAAATCATTTCCATCCACATGCTTGAACAAAATATTACCTTTCAGTTTGAAATCTTTATAGGGGCGATAATAAATACACTCGATGAATTCATCCTTTTGCTGAGCTTTCTCGATGCGAGCAGAAATCTCCGAGGTGATGTTGAAGACGTCTTGAGGATAGCGGCTGAGGCTGTCAACATGCTTCATTCTATCGGCAGTTCGATGTTCTACTTGGAACTTGAAGTCTTGTAACTGCAGTATTTTCTTCACTGTCATAGAAAAGGCGGTGCAATCTGTGACCAATTTAAATGAAATACCTAAGAAGTTATGCCGAAACTTGTTAAGAGCGAGGTACGCAGCTTTCACTTCCAGTATGTAGCTGTGTCGTTTGGCATCTGCTTCGGATTTCCTTTTGCTCCAAAAAGCGACTGGATGCAGCTCTTCGTCAACCTTCTGCATAAGCACAGCACCGAAACCATCTTTTGAAGCGTCTGTGTGAAGCTAAGTTTGGGCCTCTCTGCGGTATAGACGTAAGACTGGTTCTGTAGACAGAATATCCTTCAGCTGGTTCATTGCATTTTTTCCGAAGCCTCGAATTTAAACTCTGCGCCTTTCTTTAAAAGGTCCGTCAACGGTCGAGCGATGTTGGCATAGCCCTTGACAAACTTTCGGAAAAATCCTGTGAGACCCAAAAAAGACTGAACGCCCTTTATGTTTTTCGGATAGGAAAATTTTTTAACGGCTTTAGTTTTTTCTTCTCCTGGCTAAACTTTGCTTTGAAGAAAATGACATTTTTCCCATTTTATCTTGAAGTCGTATTTAGCAGCTTCGTGAAGCACCGTTTTCAGCTTGGCAATGCATTCATCGTTGGTCAGTCCGTATATGATGATATCATCAACGTACATTTGCATAACATCGTTAGTGATCAACTCCTGAAACACACTGTTAACAAATCGATTGAACACGGCTGGAGAGTTGCAGAAACCGTATGACGCTCGGCTAAATTCAAACAACCCCTCTCTGGTGATGAATGCCGTAAATTTCCTGCTGGATTCCTCGATGGGCACGTGAAGAAAGCTATTTTCCAAATCCATGACAATGAAAACTGCTGCTTTTTGTAGTCTTTCCAAAACGTCATCGATCAGTGGAACAGGAAAGCAGTCTCTTAATACCATGCTGTTTAGTTGGCGAAAGTCCACGCAGGTTCTGTATGTTCCATTCCTTTTCTTCACCAACACAACTCTGCTTGCAAAGTTAGAGGTTGACTTTCCGATGACTCCCTCGAATAGCCACTCATCGATCTGCTTCCTGATCGCATCGCACTCCAGAGGAGAATAACGACTTGGCTGGTGTCGGAAGGACTTCATTTGCTCATCGGGTATTATTTTCATCTGAACAGGACTTATCGAAGATGGGTTTGTCGGCTTGTATTCCTCAATCATCGACTTGATGAGAGGCTGGAACTGATGGGGAACATCGATATCAGGTTTAGCGTCAACTATATTGTAAATACTTAGCTCGTTTTTTTCAGCGCTAACTGGCTCCGCTGACGACTTCTGGAATGTGAATCCACCCTCGTTAAGAGAAACGCTGAATTTTGATACAAAGTCAAAACCAAGTAGCACGTCGTTTTCCATGTTTCCATCGGGTACAACAAGGAAAAGCTGCTGAGCTACGTTTCCATCGACGAGAACCGTCCCTATGAAAGCGCCCGAAGGTTCTACCTTGCGATTTCCAAGTCCACGAAGAATTGAATTGCTACTCTGGATATCCAAGTTTTCCAAACATTTGAAAATAGATTGGCCGACAATTGAAACATCCGAGCCAGTGTCAACAAGACTGGCTACTTTAATTCCGTTGAGCAATATTTCCTTACAGCGTTTAGTATCCTTGATAAGATTTACTTTCTTGATTGCCTGTGGACAATTGGTAGATATATGCCCAACACCATCGCATTTGAAACACTTTGTCTGCGTGTTGCAATCTTTTCGCATGTGCTCTGTTGATCCGCAGTTAAAGCATCTGGAAACTTTTTTGTCGGTGGACACGATTTTTTGACATTTAGTGTAGCGTCGTTCTTCTCTTTCCTTTCCACACTTGCGTTCATACACGTCAAATTTATCTTTTAATTCCTGGTAAGATTTGCAGTCATACATATTGAACTTATATTCATTCTTTATGTCCAATCCGTCCACTATATAACCAATCACCGACTCCTCATCCACCTGACCCATAGCCGCTATCTTCTTCATGTTCAAAATATATTCATGAAAGTTTTCTTCGATCTTTTTCTTTCTCTCTGCCAACTTTGCATGAATGTCGGCACTTTTTAGCGTGCGTTTGAATTCAGCAGTGAGAGCACTTTTAAGTTGAGAGTAATTGCTAACCAAAACCGACGCTAGGAACAGTTTTGCCATTTTTCCTCGCGCCTGTACGTATCTCTGTTTTTCGCTTAACTCATAGGCGTCCGCATTTTGTTCAAAGTTTGAGAACCACTGCTCCACTGGAATTGTTTCACCCTCAAAGTTTGGCACAATTTGAGAAAAAATTTTCTGCAGTAATCTTTGGTTCATTTTGCGATCTATGATTTATTTCATCCGCTTTTATTTTAAGAGACAGCAGCTCAATTATTTGTTGTTGATCTCGGACATTTTCAGCTCACTTGTGGAAAATTCGCTTTCCAGGTCACTCGATTCTTTTTGTTGCTGTTCCTCTTCGACGATATCAAGGCTAAATGCTTGATTATTCTTAGTTTGCGCTCGTGTTATGACACCACACCACCAAATTTTTTCACAAATTTCGCAACCGCGCAATTTTTTTTTTTTTGGCTTTTAGGTTGAGCCCCCAAATGTAATATAGTTTTTATTAAGTAAGATATTAATATTATAATATTGTGTTTCACGAGTTCATTTAATGTTCTTTTAATTTGAATATTCTGCA